GAAGGATTCTGGCTAAATCTTATGACACATTATGACATGTGCAAACTGTCCCCATAACAAACTGATAATTATATAGAACTCAAAAATGTCTGTGTATGTGCAGTTGTTCCAATTATTTGATGGCAAGAAGATAAATGTAAGATACCGGTAATAATACAAATTTTTTTCCTGCTTATTGCACAGAATCAAAACTACTTGATAATTTGAACTTTAAGCTTTTTTTTTTATTATTTTACATTGTATCTAGGTTAATAAAAGACTCTTTTTTTTTAACAATCTGTAAATGTTAATGAGACACTGTAATTCAAACTCGGGTGGAAAAGGTGCACATTTAAGTGGATTTCAAAGGATTTAGTACTAAAAAAAAAAGTTAAAATATTAAAATAATTAAAGGGTACCTAAATACGCAATATAGACACATTGTGAGGTTATGCAAGAGGGTTCCATGTCAGAGAAGCTACAAGTTGTAAGGACATTAGAAATTGTCACTGAGTTAAATAATAAAATATATTAAAAGCCATCCCAACAAACCAACACATTGCAGAGGACAGTTTCTGAAAAGTAGTATCTTATCCAAATGCATAATGGATACCTTATTTTGCTGGGTTAGGAATTATACTTTATCATAAGAAAAACTTTCCAGATAAGAAAACTAATATTTTTTTCATGTTATAATAAAATTCTGAGGATCTTCTATTTGAAGAGAGGAACTGAAAAATGAGTCAGGGTGAGAAGAGGAAGGTATGGGTAGAAGGGGAAAGATCACTGAGAAGGAGACTGAATGAAGCGTGAAATTTGGAAAGGGAAAACTGCATTTTACTGTGCAAGTGAACTGAACCTGGGAAGCAGTCTGGGAAGTGCACAATTGACAAGTGCTTGTTCGTATTTTTATATATCCTGCATGTGATTTAAGAGTGACTGTCACTGAGAGTACAGCTATGCTGCGTGATACTGGAGCATAAATATATTACTTATTATGTAACTATATTATTGCAGGAGAGTTCCTCTTGGAATACCTCTAATTCGTTAGCCAAGACTTCTTGAGATTGAAGGGAAAAAATATCCACATTTTCTTTTTAATTATGCTACATAACACCTATGTTTTATAGGGATTTTTTATCATCTCTGGTGGTGGGAGCCTTCCATGAATCTGTACTGGCTGTTCTTCTTGACAGCTCTGGTGTTTATTTCTCAGTATTGTGCATTGGGGTGCAATATTCAGTGTCTCATTCTTTTCCTGAGCTGAACACTGAAGACAGAGATTTTTGAACTGAAACAGATTTAAACAAAAGAAGTGCAATCAACTTTTTTAAAATATTCAAATGCGTTCTGGAATATTTCAGATTTAGTTATTAGATATTTTAAAAGATAATAATAAGAGTTAATATTAGTAGGCGGAAAGAAGAGCACCTTAAGGAGTCTAAGCTTAATACACAAAAGAAATGCAGATTGAAAAATAACCCTGCTACAAGTCTATATCCTAGATTTCTTATTTTGAAGCCAAGTTAAACCTCATTTAAGATAATTCCATCAGAAATAGGAGGCCAAAATGTTCTCAAAATGTTAGGCATCTTTTATATTTGAGAAAGATTCTTAGTCTATACCATATTCTGTGGGAAAAGAAGTGGAGACCTTAAAATATTTCTTTAACCTTGCTTTTATATAGTACAATAGTCTATAGATATTTCACAGAATGGAAATCCCTTTAGCTTTTATTACTTTTTCCTATAATTATGTATTTGAAATCTCTTTGTCAGGCTTATAGGGAGATTCAGCTCCTCTCTTGCCTGACATAAATCAGTCTAATCCATTTTCCTCTCTTATTTTAAGTAGGAAATTATTCTTTTTACTTAGAGCCTAAGTAGTCTTGTAATTCTGTGCATAGAAGTAATTTGTTGAGGAAGGCTTTCCTAATCTTTCTGTCTGTTTGCTTAACCGTGGAGATCTTGAAATGAACTCAAGCAATCCTGATCTATTCTGAGTTGTTTTCCTTCATGTTTGCCTGATAGTAAGCAGCCCTGAGCCCTGTAGCAGTTGAACACTTCCCAGTACTTCTATCCCAAAAGCAACCCACTAGAAGAGTGAAATACTACCTTCTGCCGTGGAATTGATGCATAAGGAAATTACTTATTTAATGATAATTATCGCTCAGCCAAGAATATAACTTTGTCATTCTCAACCATCTGTTATTTCATAGGGTCTGCACTGCAGAATAGCAGCTAATTTATTAAACTAAGGGAAGAAATCTCAGGGATTTAATATCTCTTTTCCATAGGCAGCATTGAAGGTATTTAACGGAATCACCTAAGAAAATTTGCTGATGCTGTTGAGACAAAAAATTGGATTTGCAATATTTGTTTGAAATGAAAGGTTTTGTTTTACATGGAGAAGGAGTTCAATACCCCTCCATCAGCTCCCATGGATTGCTCTCCTGCATGTCTCCAGCTCCAGCCCACTCTCCCCTGTGACATTACAGACGAAATGCAGCAGTGAAGACAAAACCTTTTTGCCTCATCTTGACTACTTTTTCCAGGCTGAAAAAAATAATTTTTTATCCTTTGGCCATTTTGGTTGAACCAAGCCTGCAAATGTTGAAGACTACTTTATGCTTTAAAGTGTATGTTGCACACAAAGATCGATTAGAGGTTTTGTTGTCTGTAGTTTGTTTTTTAATTAAAAATGTGGGTGTTGTCTGGGTACCTTACTGAACAATATTTAGACAAATTTCAGTGCAATTACAGGTTTTTAATCTAACCTCTGTGGTAGCTGTTACACCCAGGAGGCTAAACTAGGAATTAGTGACATGGGACATATAATTTTGAAGTTTTCCTGTTTCCCTTTTCCCCCACATGTAGCCAGTTTGTAAAACATACATTTTAAATATAGAGTGACTTGGAGCACAGGTATTTTATATTGAAGTTCTGTAGTGCTGAAGGACTAGGGAGTGCTCAGAAGAATATATTGGCTCTAAAACCTTTTGAAGAATAGCTCTTATGGCATTAAATGACCAAACCAAAAAAAGTAATCTTCTAGTTACAATGTTCTTGAAAAGCTCAGGAGGGAAAAACCTGCAAAAATGCTTTAGTATCACATCAGGGCTTGAAAAGAAAATTATTTTCCCATACACTAACACTTAATTCTTTTGAAAGTAGAGGCATTCAAATAACTTTTAGCTGAATTTTAGGAAGCATTAGTAATTTTCATTTATTTTATACTACATAGGATATAGATTATTTAGAAGCTACTCATTCCATGACAGGGAAGCTCCTGTGTGGAATTGTGCAAGAAACTCTGTTCTTTTACATCCTCGGCATAATGAACTTGATAATTTGGAAATTGAAATATTCTCAAATTTGTGAATGGCTTCTCTGCTCTGGGAGGTGAGAACTCCAAAGGGTCAACCTTATCAGGACCTTAAATGAGCAATATCTAAGTACAGCCCAGGCATCTCTCCTGTTAACAGCATATGAGATGGACATTTCCTAGGCTGACATAACACCCAGAAGTGAAATGGTTTCCTTGAGGAAAGTGTGTGTGTTTTGCCTTCATTTCACAAAAAGGGGGTGGGATGTGCAGATCACCTGAGTGCTGGGACTGAACCTAAAGGCAAACCGTAGATGAAGAAAACACATGCTGCATGGCTGTCAGACAGTGTCTTCTCGTGGACTGTGAAATTAATTCCTAGATAATAAAATGTAGCTGGAGAGAGTTTCCTCTGGTGTTTATTCAAAAACCCTGGATTTCTCTACCTACGCTCTTAAGCAAAAAACATCCACGAATTACAGATAGCAGAAAAATATTTATAACCTGCTAGAATAGGAAAATTGTTGATGTCATTTCATATTCTATTGTATCAGTTCATCACAGATTTCATTTCACAGACTTTTCCCTACCTGCTTACACAAAATAAAATACAAGCATGACATCAGCGTGTGTGTATTTGCAAAAGCAAGTGCCAATAATCTAAATGTAAGTATGTTTATAAATGATTCCTGCTGTGGACCCTAGAGGAGGAATGAATAAATGAAATTTTATTCAGTTTTCCAAAACAACTATTTTTTCTTTTTTTTGAGGCTTTGTTTTTAAACAAAACATTGTAGCAATGAATTTGCTAGGAGTTAGATTTCTGACTTTTAAGGCTTTACAACTGAAACTTTTTTGAATTCTCTCTGTTTAGGCAGGTGAGACCAGAAGAATCAACTGCCTTTGGAGCTTATGCAAACCACAGTGTATTATATCATTCTTCAATAGGAACATCAGATTAGGCCGGAAGAAAGGTTCACTGATATTTGGAAAAGCAATCCCACCTGAAATTATGAGAAATGTGTAACTTACACCCGTAGTATCATTAATAATTATTTTTTAAAATTACAATTTATTATCATTAATAGCCTTTTTCTTTAAAATTTGAAACCCAGTTATATGTGTCCGATACTTTCCTTTGACAGAACTGCACATAATAATCTTAACTTCAGGTTTTTTTCAAACAAATTTTTAATGCTTCTTTTGTTCCGCTGATGTGCCATGGGTTAAATGACCTCAAAACAAATCATCACTTGAAATGTTAACCAAATTTTCATGTTGTTTCAGCAAATCTTCATGTATTTCATCACAAAACACACAGTGTGAGTTCCCTACAGCTGTTGTATTGGTACCAGTAAAATATAAATGAAATTGGTGTGAACATAAATATGTTCAGCTTGTGGTTCTTTTATGTTAATTATGGAGACATATGCAATTTGAACGAGTTTTTTGTACAGTGTGATGAATATCTAAATCTCTAACAGCATCTTCCCGTTTAACCAGACTGTAAAGGGTTTAAAATATGACTGTGTGGTGTCTTCAGTTTAATTAGCTGTGGTTTTTTATTTCAGGGCTTACTTTCTCTTTTCATTGTAAGACTTCTTCTTTCTGAGTAATTTCAAATAATTGTTTTGAAGGAATTAAACATGCTTGGTTTATTTATTAATTTATTTTGTTTTAATTTATGTCTTTCCTAGCTGTAGGTATCCAGATGAAACTTGAATTTTTCCAGCGGAAATTTTGGACTGCAAGCAGACAGGTATATTTTGAATTTTTCTTTGTCATTGAATGCACAACAGCTTTTTAACTGTGCTGATGATCTGCAGTATTTTGTCATAAGCAAACTGTTTTAAAGAAACAATGTATTTGAAGACTAGTTCTGATTTACATTCCAGTTCCTCATTACAAAGGAGAATTCAATGGTGAATAACAGTTGCTTGATCCCACATTTATGGAGGTAATTAGAAAGATTGTTTATTTTAGACCCCAGTACATTTGTTGGCATGTTGTTTTTCTGCCTTAGAAAAGTATAAACAGTAAACAAAACTGTGATATTTATTTGCTTCCAGTAGTAGTAGAATTATCCCTTCTCACTTGCTTTTCTCTTTTAACATTCAGTAACTGAAGTATCACGTTATTTAACTAAACTAGATTACTGAGTCATGGTTGGCATTCATAGTCTTCAATAAATTTCACTTAAAACATTCAAGGGACAGAATTTATACTCATTGAAGAGGATAATCAGGTACTTTCTAAAGGTTAGGGCATGCCACCCCTACTTTGAGAATGGATTGGAACTGTACTGGTCCAGAAAAAAACCTAAAATGCAGGTGTGCCCAACCCCTACTGCAAAACCCTCCCTCTGTGAATGGTCTCGAAGCTTCCAGCACATGGAGGAGATTGTGGTGTTTAAACCAGCTGGAACTGCTACGTGTGACTGCACCTTTTCTCTGCAGGCAGGAACAGAACGGGTTTGGTGAACAGGTTTAAAATTTTCTTAGTCATTTTTAGAACCATTTTAGATAAAAATGTAATCAATAGCAGCTCCTTTGTAATTCTGCCCATTTGAATTTTTGAAATGTTTATTTTGTAATCTTTGAATGAAAAATGAAAATATTGTATTGATTTTTGATATCATCCCTAGTGTGCATCTCTCGATGGCAGATGTGCTATAAGTTGTGATGATGAAGTAAGTACTTAACAGATTTTTTTTTCCATGTATATCTCTACTGCAGTAGAACATAAATTTGATGAATTTGATTTGAACGTCTCGTGTACATTATGATCTCTTGATGTAATTTGTGATCACCTTTAATATATTACATTATTTAGATACTGAGACTTTTATGATGGCTGCTTATAGACATGCATTTAATTACAAGGTTGACACCAGTACCTAAAACACGTTGCAGTAAATTCTGTTTTGTGAATCCAGTTTGGGAAATAATTTGGAGCAGTGCTAAGGCATTTGTTTACTACTTTATTATTAACTTTAAAGAAACATAAGCAGTTTAAAGTCTTTTCAGCTTGACACCAGCAGGAGCCATGTGAGCATATGTAGAAATTTAGTAATACTGAGAACCTCGGTGATTTAGAGATTCCAAACTCTTTCTTAATGACAAAACATACTGTTGATAGGACTCAATCAAATATCACAGCTCCTCTATTGAGTCTGTTAACTTTCACACCTTCTCTCAATGACAGGAAAATATCTGTGAGCAGTTATGGTATAAATTAAAGCATTTAAAAGTAAATATTAAGTCATTAATGCAAATGGAATGGCACAATAATCAATAAATATTAATTATTATTAATAGCAAAATATTTGTAGCAAAAATAATTAATTAAAAATAAAACAAATTATCAATGTGTGTGATACTTTTGATTCTAAAATACATCCTATTAATTTGAAATCCTTTTTTCTTTTTTTTTAAGCTTTGAATTTGCTCATTTCTTCTTGGTTTCCTGATGCCTCACATTTTATTTAAATGTACTGTTTTCTTTCTTTTTCATTTTTGGTTTCTTAACCCATATTACATTCCATTACTGTTATTGTATATTGGAGCTGTGAAAATACATAGAGGGCTTGAACTTGATCAAAGTTACTGTAATTCAAATGTGTTCTCAGACCTCAGTCAACATTCTTGCTGTGTTTATTCTGGACTTTATGCCTAAGGTTTTACAAGCTCAGGGACTCTCCACCTATAGAACATTCCCCTTGAAATCTGAAGTTCACTGAACTTGAACCTTTAGGCAAACCTGAGCATGGTTCACTTCCAATACCTGTGAAATATTGTGAATTAAACCTCTTTCATACAGCTCCAGTCAATCTCAAAGCTATTATCTCGTGCATTAATCTTGTATCAGAAATCTTTTGTTTGAGATTTGCTAATGTGTTGGATGAGTAAATGCACCCTGCTGCCCTTTGTCAGTGCTGAAGTTGTTACAAACTGTTTCTTTAACACAATGCTGAACACTGAACGTTATTTATCTTGCTGGCAAGCAGTTGAATGAATGGTCCTGAATGAATATTTTTTTCCCTTCTTAATGTTTCTAAAATGGATTGAAATAGAAGCCCTCTTATCTTCACATTCCACCAAAAAGATGCAGATTCCACTTACCACTTATTTCATTATGCCTGTTTCCAATAATAATGCTAAAAAATTAGTATTTTTTAAATTTCTGAACAATGCTGGTGAATGACTCTGTCTTAGAGATTTGAGACATGGCCACTAATTCTTGAACTGAGCCAGTATTTTCCCAACAGCATGTAAGTCACAAGCTACGAAATTAAGCCTACGCTCTTTCTTGTCCAGCACAATTACTTTTATTTATTTTCTATGAAGAAGTAGTGTTTCTAAAGCACTGAATTCAGATTAATGTTTCATGCATGAGGACTGCAAATAGGTATCCTCAAAAGAGTTCTCTGTTGACTTAGCTCCTCTCCTAATAAAGTTGGTGGGAGGTTTATGGTGGACTTTGGGGACAGCAGTGTTCTGGTGTTACAGCCTCCTCATGAAATTCCACCCTTCACACACCATTGAGGTTAAGGAGCTGCCTCTTCTGAATGCATTAGCTCTGCTGGGTTCTTTGCCAGCATCATCAACTTTTCACATTGCATTTGCCAATTTTGGGCTTTCTAGCAGATCAAAGGTCGGAAATGAGTTGTTTCAACTTCCTTTTTGACAGGTTTTCTGTCACTGGGGGTGCCTGTAGCTTAGGTTCCCCTATTAGAATGAGTATCCTGCATTTGCATTAGGGAATAATGTTAATTCTTAACTTTTTAACTGATTTTGGCTTTCTTGTTTCTATAAAAAGTCTACCTCAAGCCAGCATTTTTGCAAATCTCTCCTCTTCTTTGCCCCACAGAGCAGTACTAATATATGGCCAGAATGAGAGTCAGACACATCTAAACATTTCTTGCAATACCAGGCTGCATTTTTGCATCTTGCACAACTACCACTGCATGGGGCTGCTTTCCTCCCTAAAACAACAGAGGGATTTTGCTGGATGTGCAGAGTGTAGCAAAAAGTATATTTTGTCATATCTCTGTACAGCCCGTTTGCAGCAGGGAAGATTTTGAATTGAAAACAAAGCCATGAGGATTCCTATTTTGAAAGCCATTCTACTTAATTTTTTTCTTTTTACACAAATGGCACAGAAAATTCAATAAGCAATGATAAAAATGTTTACTGATTTAGACCAACAACAGAAATACAAAAAAGATTCAACACTGAGGTAGGTATTTGGCATTACTGAAGAGAAACTGAGTTATATCCGGGTTTGAGTTGAACCTTATGTTTAAACTCTGAAGCTCAGTAATTAAAACTTTGCCTGTAGCAAGTAATTCACTTGAGGTTAAAACAGTGCATGTGTGTATGCAGGGAAGCACTGATTTGGGTTTACCTTGTTTTATACAGTTTATAAGTCTGACCTACGAAAGGCTAACAGTCCTACCTCTAAATCCAGTTCCCAATTAAAAACACAATTTGAAAAGGTTTAGGAGACCTATGGGGCCTCTTTTACAGAAGTTTCTGGTCCCATCCCCCAATGAACAAATTAAAAAATATTACCTGGTCCCCTGTTGGTTCTGCAGGCTGACACTGTGTTTTCATTAATACATCATTAGGGTAATGACACTGTGCTGATGTTTTTCTCCAAACACAGGAGAAGCCATCAGGAAGACAAAAGTTTTGAGCCTTTGCAAACTTAGTTATAAGAAAAACTTTTAAGAATGGCTTACAAAAACACTGACCTTGTCTTTCTTATGTTTGTTTGTAATTATCTTATATCCTCCCATTTTGTACACATCTTTGTTTTGTTTTGCATGAGACAAGTGCATAAAAATTAAATTGGATAACATCCCATAAGTCAGGACTGCACCCAGAATTTATGCAAACCATTATAACAACCTGAAGGTTTTATCCATTTAGAATTCACTTAGAAGTACATGATTAACTTATTGATGTATCCTAAAATCAAAAATTAAAATGGTATTTTATCATTTTTCAGACAATCAACTGTTACCTAATAGATAACAATGGATTTATTTTAGTGTCTGAAGACTATAGACAGGTAAGGGAAAGATTTTTCTTCAGTTTTTTCATGTAACACATTAATCTAAAAGTACTTGTTTCTTAAATAGGCCACCATCTGAAAATGGTAAGGGTTCAGTAACATAAAACTAAAAAAATTCCTTCTACAAAGAGTGTAAGTTGTTTCTCACAGGAGCTCAGTTTGTCTCCCATCGGGGCAGGATCTGCTCTTAAACTCTTAAATATTCTCTTAAAGGCCTTTCTTGCTGCAGAAGTGTCTGTCTTCTGTAAAATGTTTTTACCCAAAAAAACCCCCAGATTCTCTGTGGCATTTTTGTCGCATGGAAAGGCTGGGAAGGGAGGGAGGGGCACAGAGCTTTTACATTCAAACTTGAGATAATGAGATTTTACAGAGCTGCTAGTTGAGGAGTTTGTTTTCTGAAGTGGATTACAGACACTGAAGGATTAAAACTAAGCACTCAGCATCACAACAGAGAGGACAAGGAGCACGATTAATAAGATCATTCAAAACATCAGTTCGCTTATTCTTCTTGGAAAATTATTGAAAAATTAATGTATAATCACTCAATCATGCGAACCTTATGAAGGAATCATCAACATTCTCATTAACTTTTGCCTGAAAATGGCTGGGATGGTGCCCCAATTATGCCAGAATTGTCTGAAGTTGAATTTCTTTTATGTGTTGGGATTGTGAATAGGAATATTCACACTCCTACTTAGCCCTCAGGTGAGTTAAATCTGTTACGACTGAGTTGGTTACTGAGAAACAGCTTTTGGAAAGACCTCTGGGAGACTTGGAAGAGTGTCTGTAGAAGAGATAAAAACTCGAAGTGAATGGCAAAAAAAGAAGCTAAACTGAGCATTTTGCTTTTAAATTAAAAGCTTGAATTACTGTAGCCTTAAATCTGACACTTCTGGAAGTAGAGATATTTTTTACCTTTGAATAGCACAAAAATAATTGCCTGTTTCCTTATGAACCCTTTCTCCCTTGCTCCATTTTGGTTGGGACTTTGAAAATTATATTAGCACATAATAAACAAGAGAAAGGCAATTTTTCTGAAACTATTTTCCTTCCAACAGAGCATTAACTGTTAAACATGCTGTACTGTGTCATGCAATAGTCATTCTTCGTGGTATGTCATCTTATATGCAAAACTGAGAACTGACATGGATTATTTTGTTTAAATTTATTAAATTTATTGCTTCCATTCCTTTAGAATGTCAAGCGTGTTCTGAATATAATTCCAGGATGTATCGAAAAAATTATAAGCTAAAAATATAGCATTGCTTAAATATTAACTGCGTTATGTTTGAAGTAGCTTTTTGGAGTTTTTTGCCTTTTATCTAACTATTAAATCTATATTTTCTGTTTAGTTGAGCATGATATAAGAAATACAGCCATTATAGAATAATCTTGATACATTTAAAATATGTTCCTCCCATTATTCCCCTTTTGTTGTTGTTACTAGAGGTAAATTGTTGTGACTTGTGTAAATTACTTGCAAGTTTATAGTTGGCTGTGGCCAATAAATATTGGGAAGAAATGTTTCCTTTGGTAGTTACCTGATATCAGCCATTACATATTCCTGTGAAGAGTATAGTGTGGACAACGGCTGAGCCAGAACTAGGGCTAGTTTTGTAGTTACATCTAAGTCTAAGATGGACAGCAGAGTTGTGTCTATGTTTGTGTAACACTATAACAAGATTACAATAGTGTATATTTATTTTAATATGTGTGTATACACTCTATATTTATTGTGGATAGAGAAGGGGCAGGGAAGTGGGATGGTACCTTATCAATGACTTGCCTGTCCGGGGTTGCTTCAGCACTGCTTTTCTGTGGACTTTCCAAACATGACCAGAACTGCTTCAAGAATCATGTTTGTGGGGCAGTGTAATTCTTCATCTGAATTGCAATTAAATCTTAATATATTAAAAAAATAATGATAACCTGTGTGTTACTGCTTTGGGGGAGAACTAGCATTTACAGACAGAGCTTTTGTGGAAAGAACTGTCACTGAAATGTCTTCATAAGACTGGTGCACAACTTGATAAATCAGGTTTATTACTATCTAAGGTTGTAACCAGGCATTTATGGTTTAGGGTTTTTTGACATTGCCTCTCCAATAGTTAGGATAATTTTTCTTCATCAGTCAGCTAGAGCTATTGAAGCTAGTATTTTTAGTCATGTTCCTCTTGTTTCTAGGAGACTTTACATACCCATATGTTTTGGAAAATGTTCCAAGATTCCCCTGAGGAAAAAAAAAAAAGGCAATACATGCTTTTTAGGTGGAGGAATGCCTTTTTTTAGCTAGGGCTGTAACTTTTCTGCCTGCAAACTCCCAGGTGCATACTTGAGGTCAGCTAAGTTCCTTGTAATGGAATTGAGGTTTAGTTCATACAAAACCTATGGAATCCATGCAATTTGAGAGTGTAGTGCCCTTTCCCCCTCATAAATTGTGGGATTTCTCCCTTTAAACAATGAAGAGAAATATCCAATTCTTCTGGGAGTTGAGACTCTAAAATAAAACAGGTCTTCCCAAGGTAGAAAAAATGCTGTACATGCAGGATTTTCCACTGTCATATGAATGGCTGCAGATGACAGAGTCACTTCCATAGTACATACCAAATTCATAACATGAATGTTTGTTTTCTCAATAGAGATTTATTTTTATTAGTCCACAAGTGCTGAACAAGGACAAAATGAGTAATTCATCAGGCTGAGTGGTTTTAAGTATGAAATGACTCTGAAAGGAGTTAAAATTTATAGGATTGATGAAATGTACTGTTCCAGCTCCTTAAACAGGTCATGCAGGAATTATAAACAACGCTTTTTAATGACTGTTTATGAAATCCTCTCACAACCTGTTTATATCTTTTTTGAGTAACATTTTAATCACAAGGGTTTGTGATCAGATTAGTGTGTTTTCTTTACAAGCTTTAGGTTTGGATGGCTTTTATTTCTGATATTAGATGTTATATAATGTACCTCAATATATTGTTTAAGCTCTCACATCTGCTCAGGGGTAATAATGTAATCCCAGCCACTTGCCATGACTGTGAAGTCTTCCTCAGATTTTGTGTAGCAGTAGTCCTGAAAACCTGTCTATGTAACTGTCAAAGCCACTCTTGTCAGATCCTGGATTATGCCAGTTTAAATTGAACCCAATGCTGGTTTGTGTTTATCTACACTTTTGGTAATTTCTTGCATTTTCCCTTTACAGACTGGTTACTTTTTTGGGGAAGTTGAAGGGGCTGTGATGAACAAGTTACTAACAATGGGCTCCTTTAAGAGGTAAGATTTTCTATCTCTTAAAAAATATTTTAACAACAAAATGAAACTAAACTAAATCAAAGTCATACGAAAGAAAGCCAAGACTGGCAGCGTGGCTGGATTCTCATTTATGTCTCTTTTCTGTATGATCTGAGTGTAACTCGATACCATGCACGTTGAATGTTGAGAGCATTGGACTCAGCCTACAGTGAGTTTCTTTTTGAAAGAACGGTTTATTTGACTACAATGCTAAAACTGTGTGCCTTTCCTGTTCCCACTGCACTCAAGTGGAAAAGGGATTGGACCATATCTACTGCTGAACAGTTTTAAATGGCTCTTAAGGAAATCATTGATGCCACATCACCATTTTGACCTGTAAAAAGTTGGAGATTGCTCAAACCAGACAGTGCAAAATGCCCTGCTGTTAAAGGGGAAGTGTGTTCTCCCAGTAATCCATCTTCATTCACATGCTAACTTACCTCTGAACATTGTTGTGACTATTGACCTGGTCTTACTCTCATGATGACAATACAAACTAATAGTGATTTTATGTGTTGTCCTTTGAAATAAATTATACACTCTGGGCAATTAAGAAGAAACTTTTCCCTTTAACCTGTAACTCAACACTGGAGTCTTCATGGCTTTCACATAGTCCAGGAACTGTTCCATACCTTTTTGTCCTATGACAGCATGGGAGAAGTGCTGACAATATATATTGCACTTTTCCCTTTTATTTTCCTGTGCGTTTCTAGTATAGAAAGACAGACACATCACTGATCCCATCACTCACTGAATGTAGTTATTACATGTGAGGGTGTATACAGAGGCTCTCAGAACAGATGGTTTGTGTGCTTGCTTGGTAAACCAGCTCTCCTAAAGGCAGAAATCTTTCCATGCTGCCTCTGTGTGCTACAGCTGAATACCACACCCAGTGACTGACCTGACATGTGCAGATAGCACTCATGGAATCATCCCAAATCCTAGTTTTCTGAGGGTGGCAACCTTTTTGTGTTTAGCACCACATTCTTAACATATGCTGTAGAAGGAAGTGAAGTAATACATATTTACAGACTGGGTTTGATGTTGAAAAGATCTGTTTATACAAGAGATGAAGCCTTTTATTTAACACAAAGAAAAACATACGGTCAAAACTAAGGGATAACACTTTAATTTGTCGCAATTTGTTTTGTCTTGCCCAGCAAAGCATTTCAAACAGAATATGTAGTCAATGAGCGATGGTGGTGGGCACCATTGAGAGCACAGACTGCAGGGCTCTAGAGTTCCATCTAAACTGCAGCAGGCGCCTCTCTGGCCTGGACCATTGGCTTCTGATTTTGCTGGTCTTGAACTCCAAGGCAGTCAGAGATAATGAAGGCACCAGCTCAGTGCAACTGAGCTGCATGCTAGAGAAAATGTAAACACAGTGAGCCGGTTATTTAAACAACATAAACTAACCGTTGCCAATCAGTTAAAGATGGGAGAGAATCAGAGTGGTATAATTGTGCTAAATGAGCATCCTGCTGGACAGCAGACAGCTCTGTGCAGCAACAAAAACACCCAAACCAGACTGTCTTTGAGCTGTGCTAGATGAGGCCTTGAAAAAAATTATTCCAGCAGTCTGAAGAAGAAATCTTTGCTGGCTCTCATGAAAAACAGCCAGATGCATTTACCATATTTTTAAGATTACTAATTTGTTCAGATGGGGTTGTGTTTTGATTTACCAAACGTTTTTATATATGAAATAAGAAGAAAAGAAAAAGAGTGCTTGATGCAGTGGCAAAATCTGTCACTAGTACCATTTCCCTGAGAGCATAATGTGGATATTGCATACATTATACTTGCCATTGCTGCTCCTACCATGTAGGCAAAATCAGAGAACAAACTCTGCTCATTACCATTTCATTCTGATAATATCCAGAGTCATCCTTTCTTCCAATTTGCTTTTTTACATGGAACATACTGTCCAGCAGGTGAATTATATAATGCTGCACTTTTTGACCTGGTCTTGCTCCCTTTTTGGTTAGTTCACAAGTAGAAGGTTCTGTGGTGTCTGATCTTCACTGTAGAAGTTTGCTAACCTTGGGGATGGGAGTCCCCTCTTCCTTTGGCACCAGTGATGTGAGTGGCAGTGCCAATATGTACTCCCACCTCACTGATTCCTGCCAGCTTTCAGGCTCTCCATGCACAAAAGGAATGAAATAACCCTTTGTCCATTCTCCCGACTACCACCCATTTGGAGTGATGTAGAAGTTCTTTTTAGGGCTGTGCTGGAAGTGCTAAACAAAAGGGGTTTGTTTGCTGCTGACTATGTTTCTTTTCAACCTGCAGCAGGATGAAATTCAATTTTTGTGTTCACTGTTTATTTTTTAAAGTGAACTTAAATACCTCCTTCCCTCCTCAGTTTCTTTAAACTCAGTGCTTCTTTTGAATAATGTGTACATATGTATGTATGTATGTATATTTTCTTAGTTTATGGGTTTTATAATTAGGGAGAAAAATTATATCAGTGCCTCCACAGCAACGTGACATGCTCTATGATTTCATTTAGCAAAATTATGTTTATCTTATACCTTAAGTATTGCACACAATTAAATAATTTAAATATGATTTAAATTTATTATTAAATAAATTAGGATGTGCTTATGGAAAAGTATCTGCTTCACATAACTTAGAAAAGTTTCTTTATAGTTTCCTCAGCACTTTGTTTATATAAAAACAGTGAAAAAAATACAAAAATTCAACAACTCCAAGCAGGAAAATCTAAAAAGCCCACATTAACATCAGGAAAATTAAGGGCTATCAAAGCAATGAGATCCCCAAAGAAATAAACATAATAAATCTGTAAGAGAAAACTAAACATCTCTTGACTTCAAAACACTTTCACCCTTTCCAGTAGGAGGAAAACTAAGCAATTCTATAAGACAAATATGGAAGCAGCATCATTTCCTCTTACAGTTCTCTTTCCAGCAGACATCCTCTTGGCCTCAGAAGAAGAATCCATGCTTTGCTATTTAATCCTGTTGTCAGGATGTATGAATTAAATGGCACACCCCTGAAATCCAGCTTTCCCGGATGCCAAGGTTCACTCTATTAAGTTCTTGTTGCTTTGAGAGCTTCTCTTGTTTCTCAGTTTTTCTTTCTCTGTTCCTTTCTCTTTACTCACATGCTTCTTAGTGAGGAACGTGCATCCTGTCCGTGCCCCTGGGCACGATGCAGTCCAGATCCTTCTCCTGTGCTCTCCAAATGCTTGCCCATAGAGGCAGACTTTCATCTCTCTGTCTTGATTTGCTTTATAAGCAAAACACAGCACTACTTTTGCCTCCAGGTTATAAGAGTGTATATATATAAAAAAAAAAAAATCACAGCTCTTCACTAAGCTTACTTGTAAGAAGCAGAACATTCTTAAAGCCAAATCACAAGAACAGTAAGTAGTTGCTCACCAACAGACACCAGTTTCCACTGGGGCAGCACAGCTTCCAATTGAAGGATTTTTTTTTTTCCTGTTTTTTAGTCCACTCTTTCTTATTTAAGCATTCATTTTATTAAGACATTCTTAAATTTTTGGTGAAGATGTTAAATGGACAGTCACATTTAAAATTTGTGTTTATTTTTATGTGGATTTATACAGTCATCGATTTGGCCTTCTCTTAGTTGGGCAATGTTTCTTCACGTAGATGTACATTTTGGAGAAGATCAGTGACAGACTGCAGGAACTATCCAAATTAGAGTTACTGGATTTGGTACTGGACAAGTGCAACTGTGATGTAGAAGTGCTGCAATATGCTTTTACATTCTAAAAAACTTCCCTATCTTTATTGATGATTTACTTAGTAAAGAAAAAAGCAAGATCAAAATAAACCCTATATTTATAGCATAAATACCAGGAAAATAGTCAGGTGGATCAATAAGCATTTTTTTTGTTTAGGCAGGCAGAAGACATTCAAGGTAGGAAAATGAGCTGACTATTTCCAATAATTATCTTCCATATTCACTGCCATGTGCACTGCAGGGCACGTGTGAGTCTTGCACCCAAAAGAAGCAAATAATATCTGTCACTTCCCTCTTGTTATTACCAACAGGAACCATGTTCTGATTTTTTTTTTCTTTTTTTTTTTACATTTACTAGATCTGCATCTGGTACCTGCATTTGGAAACTTCCACATTGCTGTGGGCTATATTTTCTTCTCATATTTTGTCCATGTGACATCTAAAATTAATATCTTTGAATTTTGGGCATTGTTAGAGTTTATGTCTCTGTAAATATTACCCTTAATTGCATTAAATCATTTTATACACTTAAGGAGAAACATGAGCATGTGTGCTGGATAGATGAATTCTCATTCCATATTCTGGAAATACAGATTGAGTTCTAGTTTTTATGCTCGTTATTCTTTGAGCACCTTGGCCACTGGGAATAGCTGAGCAATAAAAACAAAGATATGTGATGACAAGTTTGTTTTGTCAAAATACTGTCATTTATTTTTATTCTTTCCACCGATTTTCTTGGTGGTGAAAGGTATTAGCCTGACAGCTTCTGGATGCTAATAATCTGTCTGTCAGTGAAGGTGGGAGAGCCAGAGCAGCAGCAGTCCAGGATTCCTTACAGTGTCCTGCTACCTCCCCACAGGACCTTCTCTAGACTGCAGAAACTAGTTTGCTCTTCACACCATTCAACACTGTCCCTCCTTGTGAGGATGCCAGGCCGGCTGCACATCTCATGTCTGAGTTCAGTCTTTCCACCACAAGTGAGCTGTAATCAGCACTAGTTTTTACATGGACTACCGAGTAAAGCATAGTGTCAATAATTGAGGCTTCTGGATTATTGTCTTCCTTTGCTCGGTTCTTTGGAGCATTTCTTTTTTCTCTGTGGACTCGGCATTTACTTCCATGGTAAGAAGCTTATTATTCTTACACAGTATATAAAACCCACCCAATCTTCAACAAAACATTTGAAATGTTATGCATTGAATGTCTTTCAGCTCTTACAATTGTCAGTAATGGTATTTTACGCTGGTAAATCCATAGTTGTGCTGAAAATCTAGCTGAAAGCAATAGAGTACATCTGTTAATATATCCTGTGCTGCTGGTAGGTCTTGGAAGTTTAATTTTCTTGAACCGGATTCGTACTCAATTGCAAGTACATTGCAAAGTACGAGACTGGAATTTACTGTATCAGGAAGTCGACAATAAAAGGGTTTTCCCTACAATGTATTTGGCCCCTGAAGTTACATAAAACAGTGATGCACATTTAGGTTTTGGTAAGTTATTTTCCATCAGTTAAAGATGATTGTTCATTGTGTTTGTCCTACAACTTATGTTAAGAGCAGCTGCTCTGTGGAGTTCAGACGTGGAAGTTGACAGGATGGTGATGTCATGTGAAGCAAGAGCAAAGCTCCCCGTGAGGTGCTTTAACACAGGACATGGACTTGGGCATCTAGGTGGACCATATCCTGAGTTGAACAGGATATGGCTAGCTGCAAACAGTTATTTAAAACTGAAATACATCAGTTCAGAAAGGGTGATCTGCAAGCTTTTTTTTCTGCAACACTGAGTTAAGTCTGTCTGAGTGAGAAGAAAGCCTATTTTCTAAATTCTCAGAAAGACATCAGCAGTAAAATAACATTCTGGAAATGACACCTGAGCACAGAAGCACTACAGTGCCTTAAGCCACTGCTTTGACCACAAATACTGCAGTAGCTTTTATAAGGAATAGTGCTGGAAAGCGTTTACTTTCCTATTACATTTATAAGAATAAAACCAAAACAACTGGATTTGAATTTGTGAATTACTTGGAACACAAATATACTGAACTTTAATACCATTCATAGTGACAGAGAATCGAGAATTGGTTCAGTATGTTGCAGTGTTCAGACTGCAACGTGGTTATGGGATACATCCACTGATCTTTGAATTGTGTTACAAAATTCCCATGTGTTTCTAGCACAAACCAGTCAGGTCTTTTAATATCATTTCACAGTAAGACTTTCACTGGTTTATTTTGCACATCCTGTGTTATAGTTATTTGAATCATCTTTAGAAACTTTGAGGTAGCTGTTGAACCTGCCCACTTTGAAAGTTACTTTGAAAGATGGGAATACATTGTTCTAAAACCAAAACTCACTCCAGGCTTCTGTTCAGAAATCTGTCTGCCATGTACCCTTCTAAGAATTTGCTCCTTTGTTTTGTTTTTTTTTGGTTGATTTTTTTTTTACCCTGGACACATTATCTGTTCTCTCATTTATTCCTGAACCAGAATCTTTACACTGGAAACGCCTTCAAATATATTTACTAAACTCATCTAACACTAATATCATCCACAGGTGATATTCAAGCCTTTCCAAATAACAATTCTTTAGTATTCCACAATGATTTTGAGGTTGTTTATTACAGCTCTTCCCTTCATCACTCTAAAGTTTACTATTTCTTTCCCTGTTAAATGAAGGGGGTTTAATTACATACTTGTATTGTTTTCCTTTCTGTTAATCATAATACAATCTTTGATTGTTGTATACTCCCTACAGTACAATAAGACAATCTACAAAACATGTAATCTAACATTTTGGAGTGCAATATTAATTATATTTCTGATTATTTGTGTGAGTACATATTTCAGTCTTTTAAAATCTTTTTATCTTTGAGCATTTAAAGAAACTATTACATCTATTAGACTGTAATAAGTACATAAGAAATGTAATGCAAGTACAAATAGGATGAGGAAAGGCTTTTATCAATATTTAAAATTAGGTTCAAATTATAATAGATGTTTCACATGGCACATTATAACAGTATTTGATTAACACTGCTTAGCAGAATAATGAAATCCAACCAAGAAATTCTGGTGTATGAGATTGAAATTTGAGACATTGATTATACTTTCATCCATGAAACAAACAGTCACCAAACTTAATTAATATATTAAAAATTTACATTTATAATGAATACACACAAAACAATGCCTTCTACTTGCAACACTAGATATTCAATGAAGCAGAACGGGACCATTCCATCCATATAGAATTTCTTGACTAGTCTGCAGAGAGCACATTAACGTCTGTAGAACTGCCTTTGCTGTGCACTTACCACTTGCCACCATCACTAGGTTGGTCCAAGTGGACATGCAACACAGTCCTTGGATCTAGAGGAACAAAATAGTCAAGCCAACCAAGGCTGGAAAGGCTGAGCTGTAGAGATTACTTTACAGGGGCTGGATTCTGACCACGGTTAAAGGGGGAAAAAATTAAGGAAAGCAAAAAAACCAGCTAGGGCCAGTGGTGTATTACTGCATTGCCACACAGGCAGCACAGCTTACCCCGTGTACTGCTCTGTTTGTCTTGGCAGATCTGTGTGCGCGGATCTGGCTGTGGGCGTGATTCTGCCAAAGATGGTCAGTGTTCAACTTACACCCATGTTTAGGTCTTTAGTTATGCGTTTGTCTACCATGTGCCTCTCTCTGCCAGTCCACAAAACAATGGCTTCCTAGGCATTTCTATTCTTGATATAAGAGAAAGTGAATAATGTAAGCAGTATGACCACGTACTAAATGTTTAGTTGAAGCTGCAAGACCCACTGTATTAGATATTTTGCTTGTAAGCCAAAAATAAAATGTAGACAAAATAAAGAAGCTTTAAGTGGTGGTTGCTGTCACAAAATCAGATCAGAAAAAAAAAAACCAAAACCAACAAGCAGCAGTTTCTACCACAATGGAATACAGCATTTTATTGGTACAGGTTGCAATGTTTCATGGCATGCAGTGCAGAATGCCTCATGATGATGCTGAATGCATTTCATGACCTGGTTTTGGCAGCTTCTGGGACATCCTTTCCATAGCTGAATTTGTGTGCTCTCCTTTCCTCTTCACTTAGAAGCAAGGCACACATTGCAAAACATTGAAGTCCCATCTCATACATCTATTAACCATCTCTGTCCAGTTGTGCTCCTTTGTCCCTCTGATGATGCAAAAGTCAAATGGATATGTTATATATTTACACTTGTTGCAAATTACTAGCTAAAGATTCTTTACATCTGCTATAGATGCTAAGTGCTTTTTTATGTGGATGGATATAGTTAATTGATTGTTCTATGGACAGACAGATTTAGAGAATAATCACAATAATTCCATATACTAGCTCTGAGTTCTGGATTTTACATTTAGATCTCTGAAGTGTTTCAATGATGAGTCAAATTGCAAGCATAAATAAATTTCCTTGTGTTTACTATGCATCTGAGGAGGCTTCTAGCATATGTTGATTACAGCAGGTATTTGACATGGAATATTTTGCTCTTATGAAAAGAAGCAAAGGTAAACCCATCCTGCCTCAATTATCTGTTCCATGAATGCACTGAAATTCTACCTCTCCCTCCTTCAGAATCAAGGCCATGTTACAAATTAGCTGTGCACTGAGATGCTGGAACTGTAGAAATGTCTTTCTTCTTTTACTGGAGTTCCAAGTGGTCTGTTGTGAGCAGCCCCTCAAATGCATAGCCCCTCAAATGCATTAGCCCCACTCTCTGGGGCTAAATGTGCTGATCTTAGTCCAGAACCAATTGTTTAAGCATTGTGTTGAATGTGTATTATCCTCCTCCCCCTCACATTGTTTATACCATTGTGTGTTACACTGTATGTGTATCTTCCCCGGTTTCTTCCAGTTATGCTTTTGCTTTGTTCTGTAGTCTGATAAAACCCTTACAAAGTTTTCACAGAATTTCTTATCTTTATGCTCCTTTGTGTAACCTGTATTTTAATGATCCCATTCCCTCTTTCCCCTACTACTGTTACAATTTTTATTTTCCTGTCCACTTCGTGAGCAGGCTGTTCCATATCATCATTTTTATCCCACTGAGTTTTCTTCTTTTAGTCAAGCAGTTTTCTGTTCTTCTCTGTAGAATTACACTTTATGACTACCAGGCCATGTGTAGAACAAACAAAGAGAGTAGCGACAGTGCCCATAGCTTGCTGGACGTAAGTATAGCACATTTTCTGAGCACCTTTCCATGCAGCCATCAAAGAAAACTGTTGCAAATATCTCATGGCCATTATAAGCCCATTATTTTGATGTGGAATGTTTACAGCTCTTGGATTTGTCCCAGTGCATTCAAGGGATGGTTCATTATAAACAAATGCAAGGTGTTAAGCATTTTCGAGTTCAAATACTCACACAATCATTTTAATGCTGGGCCATCATTTCTGAGGTTCTGTCAGGAGATTCTTTGCACCATATGAATCTGCCTTAGGAATTTGTAAATTTGGCAGTAGATTGTGCTTTGTCTGGGAGACTGGAATCACATATGCCTTTCCTGTATGTAAACAAGTAATTGAAATTAAAAATTGAGGTGGTTTTTTTTTTATATGAAAGGATTAGTTCATTGGCAAGTTGTGCAAGTCAGTGATTTTAGCACTTTTTTCTTCCTGAGTATTTAAAGGTGTTATTAAAGTAGAATTTCAATGCATTTAAACCCTTCTCTTGCAATCTGGATACAAACCCTGACCCTCTGCAAGGCCTGATTAGAATCAAGCTGGATTTTGCAAGGGCAACACTTCCTTGTTGCTAAATCCTATATCTAGTTAATAACCCCAAGGGTATTTTATAATCATGCGTCTGTCTCACTGATTGCTGTAATAATCTATCAGAACTGATCAGGTGGTGTTAGAGTGTAGGTTTTGCATATTAAAAATTATTTTCACAGATAGATGACAGTAATAGCATGAAAAAATTCTCAATTAAAGAGAGCAGAAGCAAAACACTGGTATATTTTACTAGTCTGGAAAAGCTATCTGATAGTATTTTTAAATGCACAGGGATCTAGCTAGAAAAAAACAAGTCTACATATAGTTAAACTGTTGAATAAATATCAAATTTTGGCAACCTCCATATATATATATATATTTGCTATGGTTTAATAACTGTGTGCTTTTGGGGATTTTTCATTTACAAATTTATATGATTCTTTTTTCCAAATACCTGAAAATTTGGACTTTATCAGTTTTTTATCCACCAAAGTCTGAATCTGGGAAAAGACTATCTTGACATAATAACAAATACTATGCTGTGCCATGAGACCTAAATTATTAGTGAAATAGGACATGATGCTGTGAAGCATATTTGCATGAAATATCTTAAAGCATATTACAACTCTTAGCAAAATCCTACCATCCTAAGGCTTGGGGCTTCAGCTCAGTTTGCTTGAGCACTCAGCATGTAGAACTGAAGTGTTTATCTCTTAAAAGTGGGCTCTAACTAAACATGTATTGTTCCTAATTAATAATGAATATACTGTTTTATACTAAATCATTTGGCATTATGAAAGCCAAAGTATACAGCAAAGTTAATTTACTTGGGCGCGAAATTTCAGGTTTTCTTATTTGGAATAAAAATAAATAAGATGTCCCATAGGGCTAAAACTGTGTTTTCTTTTTGTCTCTAGGACAGTCTTGTAGTTCTTTATCTTTTCCTATAAGACAGTGCTTAACAGCTGAAAATCTTTCCTTTCTCAGCTGTTATAAATTCTACTGGGCCTTTTATGGCACTGACTGACACGAGTTTGTTGCTCTGTGAGTTCTCAGCCATGCAGAGAAACACTCTCTGTGGCCCCTGAAAATTTTAAATGGCTGTTGCTGCTCACCAAAACAGCACTGCTTCAGCGAGTGCTGGCTCAGGACGCTGAAGAATTACTCTAGACATCTGAGTAGTTCTGTTAATATGACTTCTTGTATGTGCCAATACACTCTGTTGATATCTAAAAGAGTCTGCAGAACTTTATGCAACTAGGACACCCTAACACAAATGAGGGAGACAAGGAGAGATTCCTTTCCAAATTTCTGGAAACTGACTTTTCTGCCTGAGTTTCTTTCACAAAAGATTGATCTCATTAATATTCTTTTCAAAAATGAAACATTCAAAATGTATTAGAAGTACTGTAAACACAGGATTCTCGGGGGATTTGCTGTATTTTTCATGATCCAGAAAAACAGAGGAAGGAGGCAAAAACCTACTTAAAGTGTTTACAGTTGGACCTTCCATATGACACAGATAATCATTTAGGTAAAGTCAAACTTCAGAAACTATTCCCAGCCTAATTAGGCCAAGGTATTGAACAGAGATTTACACTACAGAGAGGAAAGCCTCTGAATTGCAGCCCAAGAAAAGCTCATATCATCTACCCGAGCTGTTCCTTCAGCAATAGCCAGGGAAATAGGAACCCCTAGAGGTTAAAGATTTAAGAATCATTTGCAAAACCTTCCTTTCCCCCTCTGATAATCTGTGTATAAGATCAACTGTGAGAAAAAGGAAATTTCATTACTATGCATTTTAGTAATTAATATAATAATGTTTCTTCTTCATAAGAAAAAGGTTTTTTTCTCATGTTCCCCATGCATTTGAATATCCATAATATTGTTTTCATATGAAGAATTCAGTTAAGATATAAATGCTGCATGTTTTACCTTTTTATTAAATGAGTTGCTTCTCTTCAGCCTTATAATGCCTTCTTTGCTGCAGTAAAATGGATTATGACTGAACTTGTCTTGTAAGTAGATTTTATCAGAACTTAATATTTGTATGAATTACTGAATATTTGCAACTTTTGAATATTTAATTATCACTTGTACCTTTTGCATTTTACGTACATTATGCTGTTTTTATTATACGACTTGAAATATAGTAATATTTGTCAGAGGTTTTTTTCCAATTTTGAATTCTTAAAATCTGAGACAATTTTGGCTATATAAATGCACAGCATCACTTTTATTACATGGTCTTCACTTGTATCTGTATATCTTTGTTTAGCAGATCACAAAATACAGCCCAAATTTATTTTTGTGGTTAATGTTAAATTTTAGATAAATGACTTGCTGTTTGTGATGCTGCTTGGGTGGGCTTTTGTCAGTAGAGAAATTTGGTTGCACTGACTCACTGTATTGTTTGTCACTTCATAAAATTCTATAAGATGGACCTTTTACAGTACCTGCCAGATAAGGTGTGCTCTGGATGTTGCTGAATTGTTTTATCTCTGCTGATTCTTGTAACATTCCCAGTTCATTCATAATGATCATTACCTTTAAGAGAGGGTGCCTAAGAAATAACAGAGCAATATTACATGGAGAAGAGGAAGCCTTAAAATGTGTCATGTTATTAACTGACATGATTTATTATTGTTCTTATCAGAAAGCAGAGCTGCAGATCTCAGTGAATTTTATCTTCATTGAAGTAGAACTGCTTTTTCCTTGTAGTCATTTTGTTTAATTGTAAATTGTATAAGCTTTCATCAAAGTTCAGAATAAGAGTTAAAGAGATTTAACTGAGTGGCTACTGCTAGAGGGCAGAGATTGATCTTAAATGCAGCTTTCAAAGCAAATAGAAGGGAAAGAATTGTGTTAAAATGAGGCTGGTGCTTCATGTAACAGCTTCAAAAATTCCAAGAAACTTTCTATGCTTATAAGTCTTGTAGATTCACGGGCATATGATGAACTGGATGTTGGTTTCACATTCTTTACACTTAAAATAAGTGATAGACTGGCACTTCTCAATCCATTCTTCCAAGTAAATCATAGTATATTTAAGTGGGAGAATGCATTCTTTACAATTTAGTTAGAATTGATTAGATAGTGGTTAATCAGTCTTTTCTGCTCTTAGAAAAAAAATAGCTTATTATTTGGAAAATTAATAAAAGAAAGTATTTTATATGTATGCCTGTATTGTAGCCTGGACAGTTCTAGTCCTGTGGCATTTTACTGGAGTCAAAATACCTGCATAATAAAGACATAATGTTCAACAGTAAAAAGAGTATATGCTGCCATGCATTGAGAATTTTAATTGGCACTTCAAATAAGACCAATATTTAAATTAATAATAGCTAAATATATGATTTATTGATAGGATTATTTTCAGAATAAGTTTTCAGAGGTAAAATGCAACCTAGTGAAAATATGAGAATAGCAGTAGTTGCTAATCCCAGAGTTATAGTAACATGAATTCCAGTTCTGTTTTAGCTTTTATTTAAAATAGAATTAACGTTATCAAGCTACTGCCAGTTTAGTGTTTTGAAAACATGCTGTGGGATAATGAAAACTCCAATAATTTCTCTAGGTTCCTTGTGGAATTCAATCTATGCAGTTGGTGGCACTCTGATCTAACAGCAAAAGGTAAGTGTAATTTTTTTTTCCAGACATAATGGCAGAAATGTCTAGGTTAAATTGGATTTTTGAAATTTGGATGTGCATAAACTGTTTTAGATTAAATAACAAATATCTGATAATAATAGTTTGTCTCCCATGTCAGCATTCTCCTTTTTGTGAATGTTTCCTAAAACATGAGAGAATTAAGCTCTTCTATGAATAAACACAAAGTGCTTCTGTGTGTTCTATGAGTACAGTGCACTGCTATAATGGAAAACTTAAAATAGTAAATAATGATTAAATATATTTTTAAAAACACTTCCCTTCATTCCAAAACAATCTTCATGAATAAAACAATTCTTACTGTGCTGGAAAATGCCTTTTAAAAAAAGTCTACAGGAATATACCCATCTCAATACAATTTCGTACAAAATAATTTTTAAGGACTAAGACAGATGTTATGCTCAGCAAGACTGGTTAAAACTGTATTTTGTTTTAAGACTCTGTTCAAAATATACATTCAAGTGAATTAAAATTCAGTTTACTCAAAATAATTTTTAAAATGTGGAAACTTCATTTGAAATGATGGAATTTTAATAGTTCCCATAAAAAATGGGAAGTTTTCAGTGTAAGTAGTCTGTTAGATTTTAGCAGACTTCTTATGGCATTTTCAGAAGTTGCTCAGAAGTAAAGGGCTAATTTATGGGAGCACTGCTCTTCAATTGATGATTTCATAGCAAATTGTGCTGGTGTAATGACTTAAACTGAATTCTTCAGCCTCATATTTGCACATTCCTTAGCAAAGCAGAGGATAAAATTGCTGCTTTAGGCTTCAGTTGATATTTGCATTGCCTGGTATCCAGGCAAAATCATATCCTATCTGAAGTTTAAGTATCAGGAAAATTGAACATACTGATGCCCTGGAATAATCCAGTATTCCCTGGAATAATAAGATGCTCCTAGTATAAAATTTCTATCCTGGAGCAACCAGAAATTATTGGCAGAGCACATGTCAGGCTCCTGCCTAATGTGTGGTAAATGCTGGATAGGGGGACGGGGAGGCAGAGAAGGGTGTCTGCTGGAGGTGAGGGTTTGGTAAGAGCCTTCTGAAAATTTAGGTGCATGAACTTATTCCAGCCTTTCCCACACTGATGTGAACTGCCCAGTGCTCTGCAGTGCTGGAGCTGATGCTTCTGAGACACCAGCAATGAGTCTGATGCAGGTTGGGTGCCCACACACGGGTAGAGCTTCATGGGAACCTGCCAGGCACTGTTTGCTTTGGGGACTGCTTCCTGACCAGCAGTGCTGACACAGGTCTCCTAAAAACCAAGACTAACTTTCCAGTGATTTCCCTAATGATGAAGAAAAAAGTCTCTGACCCTGATGGCTGTGAGGGACAGTCGGGCTTGCTGTGCTAGACCCAGAAAATGCAAACCAGTTGCTGTTCTGCATCTGAAGAGGAATGGCAGGTTCACCAACCCTAGTCCTTGATGTTTGCAGAACAGCACAAAGCATCCACTGTAGGAAACAACTTTTTTGGATGTTTTTTTTCCCATGTACTGTACAAATATGCCTCAGTAAATCCTGACATGAAACATTCAATGGCACTTGCATTGTATGTTAGGGAAAATATCTTTCAAAAGCAATCCCTTTTCATCTCATGAGAATGAATGTCTGATTTGTATTTAAAGAGTGCACTAACTACAGATGAGGCATTGATAACTTGCAAACTTGCTTTTCTTAAAAACAAAACTATCATTACAGCACTCTGATGGACAAGCATGATTGAGGAATTTCACGTTTTAGTTGACAGTGAAGTTTTAATTACATAAGTCACTTGCTCCATTTCTTTGATGAGTAAGAGTATTGAAAATATCCTCTCATCATTGGGATGTCATAACTTTTATGGTATGCCCATATGGTATTGCCCAGCTCCTGTTTGGTTAGATAGCAACAGATAGCTCTTTGGAAACCAGCATGTTTTAGTAAAGCAAAAGCAAGAGATATATCACAAGAAAGCAGGAGAAAAAAGCACATGCTTAAGAATTATAGATTATATATATATACAGAAGAGTACCAAATTCTTCTGTAGATGTTATGTTACCACTAAGAGTTTTAATATTTATGACTGCACTTAATGAAGTTAAAATTTAAAAATTTGCACCTTTTTTTATTTTTTTTTTTACTTAACGAAGCTCAGGAAAAAGATCAGTTCCTCTAATATGGAAAATGCTTCCCATTCAGTTTGTGACATTAATGGTGTATCACATATTAGGAAAATCCTAGAGGGTCCAAACACACCTGCCCATTTAACAAACCCTACTCTGAAAAGTACTTCTGCACAAGACCTTGTAATCTCAATCACATTTGTAAATGAGAGAGAAGAAACCCTAAACCTTGAACAATCCCATCATCTTCTGGACTCCAGAGAGGTGCTGGAAATCTGAGACCCACAAATCTTCCGCAGTCTTTTAGTTACACAAGCCATATGTTGATAAAAATGAGGGTAGACCCAAACCACAGGTGATAAATTCCATTCATTCTTTACAACAGATAAGGGAAATGGAAGAGAAAGGGAGAAGGTACAGTAGAGCTAGTCAGACAATTTTTAAAAAAATACCTAAGACATCACATACTTAAATATGTCACAATCATAGTGAAAACTTCAGAAATAACGAAACTTTTCTGACCAACTTTAGTACCTCCTTTGAGGTACTCCTTTTTTTATTCTATACAAAAACTGTGAACAGTTCAGAAATGCACGTCCTGCTGTGTGATTGCAAATGCAATTGTGGTGGTTCCCTTGCACTGCACAGTGGATGCACCACTCGCTCTCAAACAGATTATCTCCAGTGGAAGATCTGTCCAGCCCAAGAGCCTGTTTAGTGTAATCTATTTTTGTCATACCTCATCTTGTTTTCTCACTTAGCAATTAGTTTAAGATAGGTTTAACACTTGTGCTGATGTGCAAGTATATCTCTGTGTTAAGGAACAATGAAGGTGTGGGGAGGAAAAAGAAAGGGAATGAGGGAGAGGCATTGTCTGACAAATACTTCAGCGTGAGAGTCAGAAGAGCTGCCTTCAGTTCCCAGCTTTGCTGCTGTCCTGTAGTTTGACCTTGAACCAGTCTCACTGCTTACGGGTACCTCAGTTTCCCAATCTTTAAGATGTAAATAGTGACTCTTTCTTTGTCCTGCAAGGGCTTCAGACTAAAGGGTCTTCATTATTAGTATTTTGGGAAACAGATAACATTGGAATTGGGTAAAGTAACTCTTCTACCTCCCCCACCCATGGAGTTATTGTAGCTGATGAAACCCTGCAAAGATTCCCAAGCTGTAATCCAAAACCAATTTGTTTTGACTTCAGTAAAATATACCAAAATTTTCATCAAATAAATGTAAACTCCTATGAATAAAAGGTAGTGATGCACAGCACCACTGAGACAAAAACGACAGTAAATCCAGCTTGAATCTGCACGGAAAGAATGAAAACTTGTGCATATGTAAAGTGGGTTGGCAATGGCTAAACCATTAATAACTACTTTAATAGTAATGTCTTGCAAAATTACATTCCATGGATAAACTACTTTCTTTTTTTTTTTTTAATTTAATTGAAAAAAATAGTGTTATGCACTGCCTAGGAAATCTCACAGGGTGGCAGAAGCTGAGTAACATTTCCGTTCTCTGTGAGCTCCGCAGTACAGCATCTCACGTTGTTCCCAAGTTTGTGTGCTGTTCTTCCCATGTTAACATCGAGATATTTTTTCCTGTGCCTATAGCGCAGAGGTTGAAACAAACCCTAGAGCCCTGTGACACTGAATATCCAGCTTTTGTTTCCGAACGCACTATAAAGGAGACCACGGGGAATATTGCTTGCGATGACTGTTTCAAGTAAGCCCTTTCAATATATTTTTTTTTTATACAACTGTTTGTGACAAAGCAATAAAACTGAATTATTCAAGGCTGTGCTGAAGAATGTGCAAGTCTGTTATGTTTTGCATTATGTAATGGCCTCTGTCAGGGTGTCATTTCTCTTATTACAGGGGTCATTTAAAAATTTGATGCTCTTAAATTGAAGTGCTGCCTATTATTTTCTGCCAAAAAAAATGTAAAACCAGTACAGGTTTATGTTAATTTCAAATAGTGAATGCTTTAAGACTTTTCCTATTTGCAGGCAGCATTCTAAGGACATTGTCTGTAAGATTTAGATGCAAAAAGGTAAGTGCTGTTCAGGCTCCTCAACAGGAGTGAAACCCTGCTGGATAGGTTAGGAGTTCCCTTGTGGTACAGTGAGACCTGTTTGTTTTACTGGAATGCCAAACAGAGTTTCCTTCTTAGAATTATTGGGCTGAAAGAGTGGGAGAGGATTAAATCCATTCTCCAAATGTTCAGTGCTGGGAAGCTGAGTTAATAGTAACAAATCTCACATGTCAGTGCTGCAATCTTGTCAGTTCTGCCAGTGCTACTGTAAAATCGTCCCTCATAGGGTTAAAAGAAGAGAAAGACTTCAGTGTAGCTTTCCTTCTTCACAATTGAAATGTCTTTTCTCTGCATTTGGTGGCTATGTGCAGTGACATTTTGACTGTAGTTCTGGTATCATTGTAGTGGAAATATTGCATAGGTATTGTTTATGCAAATATCTGTACCTTGAGAAGTCACTTAATTGGATTTCCTTTATGCTGAGTAAGTTGTCATCATAAAGGAGATGAGTATTTACAGCAATAATGTGTTTATCAATATGAATGTCAGGAAGAATTTATAAGTTGAACAAAAATTGTTATAACACTCTCTCTCTCCAGGCTAAATCAATATGCAATTAGCAAATAAAGGTGAAAACTTTGTCACTTTGAAGTCAATAGGTGTGCTTCTGGACTTAGTCCTATTTTTTCTTCTTGATATTTTCAATATTTTAAAACAGGAAATAGGAGTAAGTACAGTGGAGATAAATTTCAAGTGCTAATATTGACTTTTGATTTGCTACTGACCAACTTTTAAGTATAAGAACATTGTTAATGTCTAGTATGAATAATTGGTTTTATATGGCTTTGTGGGATAGAAGTATGAGAGTGCTTTGCTTGGGAACCCTTTAAGCCTAACAATAGGTCCCACTGACTGAAAAGTACAAACTCAACAAAATCAAGCCATGCTTTTTCCACTTGACATATCAAATACAATGTAGGTTACACTGCTATGAGTGCTTTGTGCCAGCATTGTAGAATTTAAGCTGCCTTAATTTGTGATAATTTAACACAAGATTACTGAGAAGTTGTGCAACAAATTATCATGCATCCCTTGAGGTGTTCAAGGCCAGGTTGGATGGGGTTTTGAGCAATCTGGTCTAGTGGAAGGTGTCCCTGCCCATGGCAGGGGGGTTGGAATTGGATGGTCTTTAAGGTCCCTTCAAATCCAAACCATTCTATGATTCTGTTTAAATATTGCAAACAGACATGATTCCATGGAAAGAAGATTAATTTAACAGGACTAGGTTTTCTCAAAGGAGTGCAGATTCTAGTCTGTGTTCTTAGGTAACTTCAGGTCAAAGAACAAGTTTCAAAAATAATACAATTCTGCAATACTTGGAAAGCACCAAGTTGGAAACTGAGTTTAGTGAAAATTATAGTATTTCAAAAATAATGCACTAAGATCTTTTTCATAGAAAAACATTTTGTGTTCCACAGTGGAAAAAAAAATAAAAGAAAACCCTGTAAGTTACAAACTGATCTCAAGGCACCCATTACTTCTCTCCACAAGCAATGGCAAAACCTAAAGAAATAATCCAGAAGAACTATTAGATTCTCATGGGAAAATTGTTCGTTATACCATTTACCCACTGTCATTAACAATCTACAAATTGCATCTAAGATTGCAGACTACATTGGATTCCAAATATTTTTGTTATAACCCAGGACATTTTCCCGCAGAACAGCTCAGGAATTTGACCCAAAGTCCTTTGTAGACCTACATCTTCTGACCCAGTTTTCTGTTTCATGGCTTTAGTACCAATAAATATTTTTACAAGCAAGTGTATTGCTTAATATTTGTAATTTAAGAATGATGGGCTCAATCAGTCAGAATTTAGGTTCAGTCATATATACAACAAGTCTGGCACTGACACCACGTCCAGTGGTTAATCTGTGCAGCATCTGTTGCATACCAGGCTCTGATTCAGATCCCTTTGAGTCAGTGGGATTATTTTCTGTGTCCTCCTTGAATCACATTATTGATTAATCTGTGATACATAATTGCAAATATTTATTACAAATAGAAAAAAAGATACTTGTAAATATTTAGCTAATTATACACCCCTTGGAATACTGAAAACCTATTTGAAAGGCACTAGGAAAGTCAGTGTATTGTGAACAGGTTTGCAAACAAAAGCTGTGCAAGTGCTCTGCTTCAAGGAAGTTGTGTCAAAAGTTACTCAAGTCACTGGCTTTTGTTCCTACAACGTCAGGCACAAGGGACTGAACCCTTGTCCAAAAAAGGAGACTAAAAGCAGTCTTTTAGCAGAAGTAAAAATGATGACTGATATTACTTGAAACCATATCCTGTTACTTAGATAAGGCATTTTGGTGCACAAATACTGTGGTTTTGCTAACAAGGTCACGTAGTGAGAGTCCAAGGCTCAGTTTTATTCAGTCCTGGGTGAGCTGTAACTGATCTTATAGAAATACTCTGCACTTCAGTTGCCAAAGTAAACAGTTACCAACTATAGTAATGAAAACTCTCTTATAAACGCTTCCAATCATAAATTTAATCATGGGTGCTTGGATTTAAATCAAAGGGGCCTCAAATAAATGATACAGTAGAAAGGGCTACATGCTAATTACTTTGTTAATAAGTGTCTCACCTTTTCAGTCACCTCTGGGAAACTTAGTGGAAGGGCACCTGTACACTGACTCAGGTACTAATTATATACAGACATATAAAATGCACTCTCTGTATGGAAACTTATCTCTTACTAGCAAAAAATAAATGCTACTTTGGGATAAATTGCAATGTTTAGAAATGATTTTCAAAAATATAGGTTTTATTAAGAAAGCAGGAGCCTGAAAGAAAATAAGAATTAACATAAGAATGTCATTAGGGTCAGGGTTTGGCTGCCCCACCCCATAATTTGTTGTTATTCAATATCCCAATGATTATTAAATTAATCTGTTATTTAAACAGCAACGAAAAACAAGTCAACCCACATTTTCTAAGCACTGTCAACAAGAGAGAAAAACTGGTTTTTTTTTTAAAAATCTGAAATGCTTTCATATTTTCCAGTAAGCTATTCCACTTTATAACAAAAAAAATACTAAAAAACTAAACCCCATTATTCCTGCAAACTCATAGGGTAGACTATTGAATGTCGTATCACAGCTTCAATTTTAGAAATAGTGAATTTGTAAAGAGAAGTATCTTTATCAATGTCAGCTGACACTCTGTGGAGTCAGAGTTACACTAATGCACTTAGTATGGGCTTTAAAGGTGTTGTGCTGCTCAGAGATGTGGTTTGGATTAGACATGAAGTTTGAAGTCTTAGGCTAAACAAGCATCTCAGGGCTGCTTGTAGTTTTATGAGGTATTACCCCAACATGACAGCCAATTTTAAATGTAAGTGCGTCAACTGAAGTTCTTCAGCAATGCTCACTGGTTACATTACCAGTTTTTGCCTTCTGGTGACCTCATCATTGCAAATTGTAATTGCACTAAGATTGTCTAAGGAAACCATCTTAGAAAGTCAGAGTTGTTGTTATAAATTAGAAGGGATGATGGTTGTTATGATATTTGACTGGAAAAATTTAGATGGTCTTTTACTATATCCTCTCATTTGTAGAACAAAAAAGTTTTTGTCTATTTGCAAATCTTATTTATGTCTGAAAATTCAAATTTTTTCATTAAACTTCACTCAGGAAAATATTATTAATTTCAGCTATAACTCTGGCTGCCTGTAGATCTTCTGTAGATCAGTAACTTACTTATCTGACTACTTATACTCTAAGTATATATGTTAAAATTTCGAAGGTCCAAGGAACCAGTTGAGTGCATAATTGCCACATATGTGTGTTCACTGTAAAAACTGTGGGTATACAGATCATGCAGCAGTTGCACAGTCAAATGCTTAAAAATTTGCCCTTTTAACCTCTCCTGTTCATGTGTGATGACATATTGGACTTGGATGAAGATCAAAAATCTGGCCTTACTTCCAATGACCCAGGGAGCAAAACCCCCTTCTCTTTTAATTGCAGCACTCACAGGTCCACAAGGTCAATACAGAAACCCCCAAGAAACTCCTTTGTTTCCAGTTGGTTCTTTGTGCACAATCTTGGGACACAAAATAAAGAGAAAAGTAAATATGAGAAAGACATATTCTCACAAGGGAAGCAGGGAAGTATGTGGCTACAATCATCCTAACCCTTGGAAAGATTTATGTGTGTTTTAATTATGCAAGATGAATGTGTTTACTTTGTTGGCTATCACAGGTAAATTGCCTGTTAAAATGGATAGGAACTACTTATTTGAATAAGCAGTGTCCCATATATTATGTCTTTGGCCCATTGGGGTGTTAGTAAGCAGACATTTATTTAACAAGGAAAATCATCAATAAACCAAATTACTTCTCTTACTTTGTTACAGACTGGACATTGAATGCTCTTTATTGTCAATAAAAGAGGTAAATGGGAATGGAACTGTAGGTCAGGGTGACACTCAACCCTTTATGTGTATTTATAATGGCAAATTTCAGACTTGTCCACTAAATGAGCAGATTTGGCAGTAACAGATAAATAACAACACAAATTAGATTCAGATTGTTCAGGGCATGAGTATATTAGTGTCAGGAATAGTGCAATCTGCAGACGTTAAAGTGGTAATGGTTTTTAAAAACCACTTAATCTTGAGACATA